GGGCCCGTGCTTGCACGGGCCAATCTCATCTAGTTATAATATAAAAGCGCATTGAGCTTCGACTTTCAACGTACTGCCAAAATGTATGTAATTTGAAATGACATTCAGCCACTAAAGTACGTACCAAATAAAATATTTAATTTATGAAGCTTCCTAGCGTGAAAATAAAAAAACTTGGGAATAAGTAATAATTGCAGCCAAGAGGATCGAAAGAGGGCTTGCCTTCGCGTGTTTAAATAAATTTCTTAAATTAAATCTTGAAGTACCTTTTCAAAAATCATTCAAAAAGTGAGCGCATATGGAATGTATTGGAATACATGGTTGTTTCGAGAAATATTTAAAATTTTTTTTTTTGAATTTACTAGAAACTTTTCAAATATTTTAGCTAGGTTAATTTCAATATAATCAAGCAGAACTGTTTCCATATTGTTTATAAAGACTTGTTAAAAAGAAAAAAGTTTAAATCACTAGGGTAGAAAAATTCAGGATGTTAAGCTGTCACGGGTACGGATCCGTTTCACCTAGCCCAATCCTTAAAAGGGCAATACTAGAATTAACTAATGTAGTGGCCTATTGACCTTTTGACATTTTCCTACTTCCGCCTTGTTTTTCAAGTTTATCTTAATAAATGGATTTAAGTAATACTCCCTCCGTTTCATATTAAATAAGGTACTTTCCTTTTTAGCCTGTTTCAAAATAAATGACATATTTTTAAATTTGGAAATAATTCAACTTTAAACTCCTCATTTTACCCATTTTATCCTTAATGAGAAGCTTTTATAACCACACAAAAATCATGGCCCCACAAAGCTTTATCCCTTAAGCTTTTAAGACTACGAATTTCAAAAGTCTTTCTTTTTCTCCTTAAAGTCCGTGTCGAGCCAAACTATCTCATTTAATTTGAAACGGAGGGAGTATATCACTTATCTCGAGATTCCATAAACTTGTAAAATATTCACAAAAAAATCAAAAACATTAAATATTATCTTTTTAAAAGTTGCTGAAGTAATGAAAAAACATTCTTCCTCAAGATCAACTCGAATTGGCTAAATACTTCTTGACAATCAAATACTTCAAGAAGATTCACAAATTCTTTGCTCGAGAGATATGTCATCTTGGCCCTCGATTGGAGAAACAAGAAGGAGCGATCAAGAGAAGTTATTCATTGTGATCAATTCGAAATAATGACTCACTTTCATAGAGATCAAATACATCCCAAGGAGGTTCGCATACACATTGGTGTTTTTTCCCTATAAATATTTCATTGCCACCTTCCCTCTTCTATCACCTTCACAGCTTCCAATCACAAAGCTAATTTATAAGCTTCTATTCTTACTTCTTGACATTATATCACCATATATTGTAATATTTTCAAAATGATCAGTATTTCAAACAACTTTTTTGCAGCCATTGCTGCTATGTTTTCTCTTCTCGTCATCTTCTCCAGCATGCAATGCCATGCACAACTTTCTTCCACATTCTATGATCGCACTTGCCCTAATGCTCTCAACACCATTCGTACAAGTGTTAGACAAGCAGTGTCACGTGAACGTCGCATGGCTGCTTCTCTCATTCGCCTTCATTTCCATGATTGCTTTGTTCAGGTTGGTTAAATACACATTAATTAGTATATTTGTAGCTCTATTTACTTCAAGTTGAAATTATAAACTTGATTACAAATGTACTAACTTGTGGTTTTAACTATAGGGTTGTGATGCTTCTATCTTACTTGATGAAACTCCTACGATTGTTAGTGAGAAGACTGCCTTGCCAAATCTTGGGTCAGTTAGAGGCTATGGTATTATAGAAGATGCAAAACGAGAGCTTGAGAAAACATGTCCAGGAGTTGTATCATGTGCTGACATACTTGCCGTTGCCGCTAGAGATGCATCAACTCTCGTAAGTATTCGTAGTTTGATTTTCATTTTCTTCACATAATAATCAAACTTCTCTATAACATCCATGTTTGTTCTGAAATTTTTTGGGTGTTATAGAGAAAACTTGAGTTTTATAGTGAATGGCTGTTATAGATGGATATTGTTATAAAGAAGTCTGACTGTATATCAAACTAACCAATACATTATGTTAATAAATTACAATTAGGTTGGAGGTCCATCATGGGCGGTGAAACTCGGAAGAAGAGATTCAACAACTGCAAGTCATACACTTGCAGAAACTGATCTTCCTGGTCCATTTGATCCTCTTAATAGGCTTATTTCTAGCTTTGCGAGCAAAGGCCTTAGCACAAGGGATATGGTTGCTTTATCAGGTAAAAACTAATCAAGTTATTATATATTGAACATATATAAAATATTTATCATATACTTGTACAGATAATGAAGAAGAAGTTCTAAAGATTTAAACTTTCTAATTGTAGGAGCACATTCAATAGGCCAAGCACAATGTTTCCTTTTTCGCGATAGGATTTATGGCAATGGAACAGACATTGATGCTGGATTTGCTAGCACAAGAAGACGTCAATGTCCTAAAGAAGACCAAAATGGAAACCTAGCTCCACTTGATTTGGTTACACCTAATCAATTGGATAACAATTATTTCAAGAACTTGAGGCAAAGAAAAGGTCTTCTTCAATCAGATCAAGTCCTTCTTAGTGGTGGATCTACTGATGATATTGTTTCTGAATACAGTAACAGTCCTCGCGCATTTGCCTCTGATTTTGCTGCTGCTATGATTAGAATGGGAGATATTAGTCCCATAATACGTATTTTAGCGGTTGACTGTCATTTTCCAATAACATACATAAATTTGGGCATTGCATTGAAAGTCAAAGGTGAAACATGCTTTAATATTATAATATAATATTATTTCACTAAAACTTTTATATGAAGAACTATTAAAAATTTTAGACAATCAAACACTTATGTAATTTTTATGAAATCAATTAATATGCATTAATTGGCAATTTGATAAAAATAATTCAGCAAACTGGTAAGACAATACATAATGAAGAGTATATAATTCGGAATAGACAGTACTTTGCTAGCTGGAAAATGAAATCTTCTCCAAATGTAGTATTTTAATGCCGTTGATAGTTGACCTTTGTATGATGACCCGATAGGTCATCTCATGTTTTGAAATCTAATTCTGTGATCCGAAGCCTTAAAGAACTGATAAAAATAAGAAATTTTGCCTAAAAACTTCATTTGAGTTGACTTCGATCAATATTTTTAGTAAACAGGCCCGGATTCGTATTTTGATGGTCCCAGATGGTCCGTATAGTGATTTGGGACTCGGGCGTATGCCCGCAATTGAAATCGGAAGTCCCTAGCCGGAGATATCGGACTTTGTCGAAATTTGAAAGTTAAAGGCCTAATGAATTAAAATGTTTGACCAATGTTTGATTTTTTAGATATCGGGTCCGTATTTTGGTTCCGGAATGCGATATAGGTCCAATACCATATTTATGACTTGCCTGTGAAATTTGGTGAGAAACGGAGTTGGATTGACGTGATTCGGACGTCCGATTGTAAAAATAGAAGTTTCAAAGTTTTCTTGAAATTTTCATTTGATTTGGTGTTCAATTCGAAGTCTTAGGTATTATTTTGGCGATTTGATCGCACGAGCAAGTTCGTATGATATTTTTACACTTGTGTGCATGTTTGGTTTGGAGTCCCGATGGCTCGGGTGAGTTTCGGATAGGCTATAGAGTGAAATTTGACTTGGAATATGTTGCTGGTGTTCAGATTCTTGTTGCAGACTTCAGACCTCGCATTTGCAAGGTCAATCATCGCATTTGCGACCACTGTTAGGTTCGCATTTGCAATCTACTCATCACATTTGTGAAAAGTGGCTGGGAAGGCCAAAGTTCGTATTTGCGAACAAAGCTTCGCATTTGCGAAGAGGGACAGGGGGGGCAGTGATCGCAAATGCGATCAACTGGTCACATTTGCGGAGATAATTGGTCGTAATTGCGAACCATTACTCGCATTTGTGAAGGAAGCAGAAGTGTGAAGAGCTTCGCATTTGTGATGGCTTCTTCGCGTTTGCGGGTTCGCATTTGCGTACCCTAGGTCGCAAATGAGACATCTGCACCTGATCAAAATGGGACTTAGACGGGATTTTTGGTTCATTCTTCAAATTTTCAAACTCAAAAACCCTAGAGGCGTTTTTCCAAAGAACTTTTGTTCCCCAAATCATTGGTAAGTGATTCTAAACTAGTTTCTTTCAATCTTCCACCACCTTTCACAAGTTTACAACCTAAAATCTAGAGTATTCATGGTGGAATTGGGGGTTTTTGGGTAGAAACTAGAGACTTGGTAAATTGGGGATTTAGACCTCAAATTGAGGTTAGATTCCAAAACCAATTATATAACCGGGCTCGGGGGTGAATGGGTAATCGGGTTTGGACCAAGCGGGCTCGGGTGTTGACTTTTTCAATAATGACCTTTTTTTTTGGTGAAATAAGAAATTTTATTTAATCACCAGCATAAATCCTTACAAGTATATCCCTCCTATTTTCCACATCCTTTACTAATCATACTATAGCTTTCACTATCTCTTTACATTCAGGACTATTACAATTGAGCTATTCTATTTACAGTAACTATTCTACCCACAATTTCTGCCTTGCTAGTATTGCTCTTCGACCCATGATGTCGTGTCTTCTCTCTGCATTCCTCCTTAATAGCGTTAACTACCATGTGAGGTCTAGGGACTTTTTGATTCCACGGAGCATCATTCCTTACTCCCCATATACGATACACCAGTGCCACCACGATTGCAACAGTGATTCTTCTGCATGCTTTGCCACTGACTCTTCTAGTCATTCTTCTCCATATTCCATTGAATTCCCATTGCTGCAACCCCATTTCAGCTATACCAAAACTTCTTTAATACATGCTTTAGAAAAAGGACATTCAAAATATAAAGTGATCTATTGTTTCCGCTCCCCCCCCCCTCCCCCACACACACACACATATGACACAGCTTGTTTCTTGGCAAATTCCCAACCTAGCCAGTCTCTCCCTTGTTAAGAGTCCTCAATGCATAGCTAACCAACTGATGAAGCTATGCTTTGGGGTGTTATTTGCTCCAAACCCATCTGCTACTCTCCCATTTCTCTCCAGTTCCTTGCCTTCATTTATAGCCACTACTGATTGTGTACTGTCCATTAGCTGATAACCACTCCTGCTGGACATATCCCTCTGCAAAAAGGTCTCGCATGGAGCATATTTTCCTCCAGTACCAACAACATTCTTGGGGAGGCTGATACTCCCACCAAGCGGCACCTTTTAAGTATATATGGTCCACCCATTTTACCCATAAATTGTCTGCTTTTTTAGCTATATTCCATACATACTTTGCAATCGCTGCTTGATTCCATAGATCACAGTCAATGATCCCTAAGCCCCATTATTTTTTAGGTCTGCATACTAGCTCCCAAGCTATCAAAGGTACCTTGTTTGAGTTAGCTTTCCCATCCCACAAGAAGTTCCAGCATATTGTTGTTATACTCTTCAATATCTTCTTAGGCAGAATAAATATGGATGACCAGTAGGAATAAATGTTCATTAACACTGAATTTACTAGTAGTACTCTCCCAGCGTATGACAGGTTCCTTGTTCCTCAGCTTTGTATTCTAGCACACATCTTATCGACTAACATTTCACAATCCACTGCTGAAATTTTCTTTGCTGAAATTGGCATCCCCAGGTATCTGAAAGGTAGTGTCCCTCTTTTATAGCCAGTCAATTCACATAGGTCTTCCACACTTTGCCTATCCATATTAGCACTATATATGTTGGACTTGTTTGCATTGGTATTTAGTCCTGATGCACTTGAGAAACTAGCCAGCCCCCTTAACATCATTATTACTGATTGCACTTCTCCTCGATAGAACAGAAGCACATCATCTGCAAAGCATAGGTGATTCAATTGTAATCCTTTACATTTTGTGTAGAAGGAAAACCCCTGGAGTGTGGTAACATGCTTCATGATCCTTGTGAAATATTCCATACAGATGACAAAGATTAGTGGAGAAATTGGGTCCCCTTGCCTTAGCCCCCTCTTTCCTTCAATGTTTCCATACATCCCCCCATTAATTGCTATAGAGTATCTAGTTGTTGTAATACATTTCATTGTCCATTTGATGAACTTGCTAGGGAAATCCAGAGCATGCATCATTTCCTACACAAAATCCCATTCTACAGTATCATACGCCTCCCTCAGATCAATTTTTATAAGGCATCTTTTAGTAGTAGCTTTCCTGTTGTACAACCTCACCAAATCTTGGCATATAAGCACATTCTGCACAATAGTTCTCCCGGCCACAAAAGCACTTTGATTGGATGAGATTATGTCTCGTAACACTGTCTTCAACCTCATACAAAGCATCTTAGAGATCACTTTGTATAAGGTGTTACAACAAGCAATAGGCCTATAATCCCCCACCTGCTCTGCATGACTATTTTTTGGAACTAGAGTAATTGTTGTGGCATTCAGGCATTTTGGCATTCTTCCTGTCTGAAAGAACTCCAACAACCGTTAAACTACATCTTTGCTTACAGTTCCCCAGCAGTCTTTAAAAAATTGACTACCATATCCGTCAAGCCCAGGGGCTTTATCTCCTGCAATTACCCAAACTGCTGCTTTCACATCCTTTTCCTGAAACCCTTGTTCTAGCCAGTCCCTCTGCTCCTGGTTGATTGTTGGCCATTCTCTAACCAGGTCACTACAGACATGTTGCCTCCATCTTACTCTTTCCCCTAGTAGGTTTTTATAGAATTCTATAAAAGCTTGTGCTATTTCCTCTGGATCTTTTTTTGTTTCCCCCTGTGAATCAATAAACTGAAAATATCATTTTCCGATTCCTTCTCTCCCTTATTGCACTATGAAAGAATTTTGTATTTTGATCACCTTGAGTTAACCATTGTACTCTGCTTTTCTGCCTTAAGAACTGGTTCCTTGCTTCTCCCCATATTCTGCACTCCTTGGCTAGCTTTATTTCTTTCTCAATTAGAGCTTTGTTTCTAGGGTCTCCTTGTAACATTAGTTGGCATTGCTTCAATTCCTCCATTGCTTGATCAGCCTTCCTTTCAACGTCTGAGAATCTTTCCTTGTTCAATTTAAGTAATACCGCCTTTAGTCTGTTCATTTTCCCTACCACTTGAAATAACCTGTCCCCAGTTATCTCCTCGTCCCAGTTTACTTTTTCCTTGAAGTCAGGTGCCATTGTCCACATATTGTTGTATTTAAACTGTTTTCTGCTTTTGTATTTGCCATTTTCCCAGTTTATTATGGCTAGGCAATGATCATATAGCTCCTCATTCATGTAATGCATCTCTGAACTTGGTAGTGTAGTTATCTATTCTGTGTTCACTACCACTTTATCTATTCTGCTATACACTCTTTCCTCCCCTTCTTGTTTTTGTTCCATGTGAAATATTCCCCTGAGGATCTCAATTCCTGCAGTCCACATTCAGCAACACATTCTCTGAAATCTTTGATTTCAGACAATGTTACAGGTCTCCCAATTCTATCCTCTTTATGAAGGACACTGTTAAAATCTCCCATAATTGCCCAAGGTCCAACTACATACCCATTTATTTTCCTCACCTCCTGCCACAATGGTCTTTTGATAGCTGGATCATTGAATCCATATACAAACGTAACATTGTATTTCATTCCAGTCCCCCTATGAAGTACGGCACAGTGAATCATTTGTGCAGACACATACTCTATCTGAACCTGCATGATTGTTGGCTTCCAAACCACCCATATTCTACCCCCGGGATGAGCTCCCAAGTTATTTGTAAGTGACCAACCTCTACATAGATTAAGAGAAGCTTTGTGAGCATTACTTCTCTTAATCTTAGTTTCCAGGAGACCAAACAGACTAACCTTACATTGATGTAGAAACAGATTCACATCCCTCTGTTTCGTTAGCCTATTAAGTCCCAGGTGTTCCAGAACCCTATACTATCCATTAGCTGGGGGGAGTCCCCCACCCTTCCCATGTTTAGGGTCACCTTTATCACTTTGTTTCTTGTGATTTGTAGTAATTTCCCCTTGCTCTATCATCACCATGTTACTGGCCTCCCCCAATGCCCCAAATGAATTCAATAAATTTAGTGTAGAACTAGGACCACCCTTGACTCTTTGTGGACTGCTTATTTTCACACTATTCCCCTTCTGTACATATGCACCAGGAGCCAAACTCTGTTGTCCTGCATTAACATTTTCCCTGCCCCTTTATATTCTGTCCCACTACTTGTAGTTTCCCTTTGTTCTAATTAGCTACCTTACTTTGGTCTGTCTCCTTCCCGTTTTATGTTTGCCTTCTGCTTTTCTGCCTGGATGTATTTCCTGCAATCCTGCTTTTCATGTCCATAATTGTTACATTCCTGGCATAGTGTAGGTTTCCATTCATAGTGCACTCTTTGTTCAATTATATTGCCAACTTCATTCTCAAACATTACACTCTGTGGGTAAAGCTGGTCTAGTTCAACCTCCACAAACACCCTAGCAAACGTCATCCTCTCCTTCCATGTTGTAGCTCTATCAGCCTTCAAAGGATTACCAACTAGCCTTGCTATTTTTGTAAGTGCATTCTTACCCCAGTACTTAATGCCAAGTCCTGGTAGTCTAATACATATCGGCACTTTATTGAAAGTTTCCTTCCTTGTATCTATATCAGGAGACCAAGGCTTTACAATAACTAGCTTTTTATCGAACATCTGGACTCCATCTTCCACAGCCTTCACCCTACTTTCCGTTTGTGTAAATCGTACCAGAAATACACCTCTGTTGACTTGCGCAACTTTGTCAATTCCCATTTCCTCCCAAATTCTGTGAAAATATCCATTCATAACTGCCGGTGGGGGATTAGGCCCCAATACATAGCAAATGACAGCATTGTTCCAATATTCCACTTCATCCTTGATATCCTCCATCGTAATTTTGACATTTTGCTTCTTTGTTTCCTTTGATTTCAAATCAAGACCTTCCATAACAGGACTATTGGTCACAATTTGACTCCATAACTTCATTTTAGGTTCTAGGTATTGTTCTACCCCTAGAATTTCACCACATTCTAACTCATTCTCCTCCATATCAGCCCATGACTGCTTTCCTGACGAATTGTGTTCCTTACCATCCCCTATTAGTGCCTTCTCCGGTGTTTCCTTTGTAGAAATACATGTCGAACTTTCATGCAGATCTAACGGCATAATTCTTTGTAAAACATTGATGTTTCGAGTTTTCTTTGCATCCGCCGAATTCGGAACTCCAATTCGAACGGAGGAAATATGTTGCATGCACTCCTGAATCTGTTGCCTTCCTCCTCCAGTCTTCGATTTCCTCGTCATATCAGCTGTCGCTGAGAGGGAATTTCATTCTAGAGAGAGAAAGAAGTGTTTTTGTTTAATAATGACCAAAATTGAATTCTTTGCAATCGTAGGTAGTTCCTAAGGCTTAATTTGAATCGTTTTGGTTGGTAATTTGCTAGATTCTATTGGTTCGGAGGCTTGTTTGAAAGAAAAAGGCGTGGTTGAGCTTTGAGTTTGGCTGTTGGAGCGAGGTAAGTATCGTGGTTAACCTTGACTTGAGGGATTAAGACTTATTTGTCTATTTGTTACGTGTTTAGATGTTAGGAACAACGTATAGGTGAGGTGACGAGTACCTATGCGTTGTTGTCGGGTTATAGCATGCTGGTGGGTTTTATTCTTGTAATTGTTGCTTTCCTTGATCATATTACTCATTCTTAGACTAGTTAATCGTTAAGTTGATTGTCTTATCATGTTTACGGACTTTGGTAATAATTGAGTATTGATTCAAAGTTGGGGTTGGTATTGTGGAACCCAATGTTAAAGTATGACTTGTTCTTGTTATTTCTATCTCCCTATTGTCATTGTTCATTGCTTTATGGTAAGGGAGAGTGCTAATGCACGAAGGGTAATTCCGTGTCATATTGTAAGTGATAACGCACGAAGAGTGATGCCGTGCCATATTATGAGTGTTAATGCACGAAAGGTGATGTCGTGTCATATTGTGAGTGATAATGCACGAAGGGTGATGTCGTGCCATATTGTGAGTGTTAATGCACGAAGAGTGATGCCGTGCCATGTTATGAGAGATTTAATGCACGAAGGGTGATGCCGTGCCGTTTCTATTGATTCATATGGTGAGGTTGAGAGTAAAAGCACGACGGGTCATACCGTGTATTTTCCTTTACTGTGTTTACTTGTTCTTATTTGTTCAAGGTATATTGGTTGATCAAATTCTTATTACTGTTGTCATTCTTTATCTTGTGATCCCTTCAGCATGTCCCCCTCTCGATATTACTTGTCTAGCTTTTACTTGTCGTTATCTTTGTACTATATACTGTTAAATTGCACAGGTTTATGTGTAGGTGTCTTGTCAAAGCCTCGTCACTACTTCGCCGAGGTTAGGTTCGACACTTACCAGTACATGGGGTCGGTTATACTGATACTGCACTCTGCACTTTCTGTGTAGATTTTGGTACTGACCCGAGCTGATCGTGAGGTTAGCCACTGGATTGATTGACAAGAGACCCAAGGTAGATCTGCTGGCGTCCGCAGACCCTGGAGTCTCTCCCTAGTCTTAGTATTTTAGTGTTTCTTTTCCTTCAGAACAGTGTATTTCCTTTCAGACTCTATTTTGTAGTTAATCGTAGTAGCTCGTGAGTTGCGACTCCAGATCCTAAATATTTCAAATGTTATGGGTTTATGTTATTACGCAAAGCAGCTTTATTTTTTGTTCATCTTAATTATTCTTATTATTCAAACTGATTAAAGTTGGTATTAAGAATCATCTAACGTTGGCTTGCCTAGTAAGTGAAATGTTAGGCGTCATAACGGTCCCGATGATGGGAATTCTGGGTCGTGATACTTTGACACATCAATCTCATAATTTTATTGTTTGACTTTCTCGTTTATTCAGCCTTAAAGTCGAATATAATCTTTAATTAGATATCAAATCATTGGAATGAAAGGTACGACCTCCACGTATGACAATTACCAACTAAAGGGAGCAAGGAACATTCGTAAAAACCTATAACCAGATTCTTTTGTCATAGCAATATTATAAATAAGGGGAGGAAAAAAAAATCTTTGAAACAGAAGCTTATTAGAAGAAAAAAAATCCTATTGGCTAAAACTGGCAAGAGTTGTTGTTGACTATTTGAATATATAATGTGAATTCTTTTGAAGTAAAATACAGTATCACATGTTGTTTTCGTTTTAATCATTTCAAAGTCCAACCTATGTAGCGTGGCGTTCTGTACAAGGTTGTCTATAGGGAAATTTTCGTTTCTATACCATATAGGAAATTATATTACCAAATATGTTCATAGTTTGCATATTACCCTTCATGCTAATAGTATTTTTACAAAATATAGACAATTCATTAAATAAGGAATCATTGTAGCTCTAGGCTTCCTTATTTAGGCGCGCTAAAATTAGGGGATTAAATATTCTTCCAGATCTTCCACAACGCAAATCACACACAGTAATCTTCTTCGTCAGTTGCATTTCAAATTTAGCGTCTCTGCTTTTTCGATACACTGTATTTCAAACTTTTTTCTGATTTCACAAATCAAAAACGACTAAATCTTCTACAATTCTTCTACATCAAAAGCAATTATGTTCAAATTTCAGTAATACAAAGCAAAGGAAAAGAGAGCAGCAATTCCACCATTGACAGCAATTAAAAAGCTTTGAAGCTTCGAAATCAAATTTGGGTTTTCAAAAATCATTATTTGTTTGGATTGGGTGTTGTTGCAAATAATTGGGAATATGGTTTGGAGTTTATATCTCAATTTTGAGGGGTTCTGGTGAAGATTAGACTTGGTTTTGGCTGAATTTCGGATTGAAACTCGAAGAAGAAGAAGAAGAAGAAGACGACATGACATACATTATATTGCAGAAATTGTAGAAAACTATAGATAAATTGTAGAAAAATTATATTCTGTTGTTTATTTATTTTTCTTTTATTCATTTAACTATTGTATGAAAGTTGAACAATATTGTATAAAAGTTATATTTAAGTGGTATTATATTGTAGTTGTATATAACTTAGTAGAAATAATGTACGAAAATTGTAGATAATTTGTGGATAAGTTGTATAATATATAATTAGTTGTATAAAAATTATTTTTACTATGTATAAATCAGATACAAAATATACAAAAGACATATTGTATAAATTTTGTATTAAGTTTGTATGTAAGTTTTATGTTATTGTAGTTGTATTTCACTGGGTGAAAATAATGTGTGAAAGTTGTAGAAAATTGTAGATAAGTTGTATTCCTCATAACGGGAGATGTTGGCATATCAAGTAACTTTTGTTTCCAGACGAACATGCATGAAAATAAAGATAAATTTGTATGAACAGTTCGTAGAAATTTTGTAGATAATTTGTAGAAACATTGAAATTCTGTATTTTCATATTAATTTTTCAAACGATATGCAGTTTTATTGTAGAATAAATGTAGAAAACAAAGCCATTGTGAGTCTTATTTGACTCATTCCTCACATTCAACCTATTCTACAAATTCACGCCTCTTTAAATACAATACAACCATACTTTCTTGAATTTAAAGTATAGCATATATATAACTTAAAAACACATCTTCTTCTCTGCACAAGTTAGCTCCAAAACAGACGAAGTGGAATAACAAGCTCCCATCAAAACTTTTAACACAAAAAACACAAAGCTCAAAAATAATAAACAACAGTCTACAATTTTTCTACAATTTCTGCAATATAATGTATGTCATGTTTTCTTCTCTTCTTCTTCGAGTTTCAATCTGAAAATTCAGCCAAAACCAAGTCTAATCTTCACCAAAACCCCTCAAGATTGAGATATAAACTCCAAACCATATTCCCAATTATTTACAACAACACCCAATCCAAACAAATAATGATTTTTGAAAATCCAAATTTGAATTCAAAGCTTCAAAGCTTTTTAATGGCTGTCAATGGTGAATTGCTGCTCTCTTTCCTTTCCTCTTATATTACTGAAATTTGGATTGCGAGATAAAGAGAGTTGTAGAGAGAATTCTCAATTCTTTGCAACAACATCCAATCCAAACAAACAATGTCTTTTGAAAAACCCAAATTCGAATTCAAAGCTTTTTAATTGTTGTCAATGGTGGAGGGGTTATAGATTTTCGCTGGTTTTAGAAGAGGAAATCGTGGGTGTTTGAAGAGGAATCGTGGGATTTGGAGAGAGAAACTTGGGGGAGTGGAATATACGGTTGAGTAAAATTAGGAGACTAATTAATACCATTAAAATCCTTAAAATGGTACATAAATGATAATTAGGTGTATAGAAGGTAATTATATTAAAAGTTAAGCATGGAGGGTAATATAGTTTACTATATGGCATAAGAATGTAAAAATTTCTTGTCTTGTCTATATCCATGTTCTACCAATCGGTCTAATTTTGAAATTTAACCAAAAGAGACCCGAAAGTACTAAGCATATACTTTTCCTCAACCAAAGATTTGCAATGTTTTGAAGTAACTAGAGAGTTAATGTGTTTAATTTTTAGAGTCAAATATATTAATTTTTCCATAATAGTTTTCTTTTTAAAAAAAATCATAAGATTAATTTAATTAAAAAAATTGTACTTAAAAGTTTTTCACTTTGTCTTCAGCTGAGGGTCTACCGGAACTAATCTCTCTATCTTTATCAGGTGGGAGGTAAGGTCTACGTACACACTACGCTCCCCACCCACTTATAGAAATTAAACTAAATTGTTGTTATTATTTAAAAGTTTCTAAGAAAATGTTAAAGTCAAAATAAAGAAAACATTATCTGAATTTTTTAAAGTAATGTCAGTTCTTTGTTCTTGGAAGAAAAGTACTAACAAATAACAACAGCCTTTAATATATATATATATATATATATATATATATATATATATATAATTATATATATATATATATATATATACTAGTGGGAAATGGCCCGTGCTGAGCCCGGGCCCAAATTTCATAAGTTAGCAACTGATATTTTTTTGATGAAAATGATAAATAACTTTTTTGATAGAGAATGAGTTATATTATAGTAAAATGCAGATTTGAAAATCCCACTGACAACGTCTTGTTACTTCGTAGAACTATTCTCTAAGAAGTTCAAATGCAAGGATCTGAGATTTTACCCGTATACAGGCTTCTATACTTCTCCTCTTAACTTGTCCGAACCATCTCAACCTCGTTTTCCGCATCTTATCCTCTACAGGACCATTCCCACCTTTTCCCGAATAATTTCATTCTTAATCTTATCCAACCGGGTATGCTCAAACATCCACCTCAACATCCTCATCTCAGCTACTTTTAGCTTCTGGATATAAGAGTTCTTGATCGGCGATCGAGGGTATTAAGATTGATAATATAATATTTGAATGTAAACAAATGCCCATAGGGAACAGCTGAGAGGTAAAATGAAGAAAACCCCGAGGAATACTCCTATGTTCGAAGAAACTAACAACATAGCTAAGTAATAGTAGTTCAACTTAACAACATGAATTAACAACATAATAATGTGATAAAAAATCTATACTTGTCTAAAACTTGGTCTTGGTAAAATGTAAGGAACTCAGATTTGTCGCATTATTATGTAAGTTAGATTTGGTTGAAGACTTCGCCACACTTAACCTTGTCCATTAACATGGACCATGAAGAATGTCACCTTATATTAATATTATAAAGGCTGGTTGTAATATAGATGACTGCACTTCCAAATGATTAATGATTTTAGTAACTACGCTTGTGAAAACTTCTGTATTGATAATTATTTACATTCTTACCCAGGCCTACAGATCAATCACAACATCTCAACTTAAAAGTTTAAAAATTAAGATTCAAAATGGAAGTTTCAAATTGAGTTCGCCTATATAGCAGTATCAAATAGCATGTTAAGGCTGAAGTGTCAAGGTTAAGTCCATAGTATACCAAGTAAACCACAATATACAACCACATCCGTATACATTTTGAGTGGAATATTAACTAAATCTTAGAAGATATTTTTATAATCACGTGCAATTAGTTCAGATCACAACTTTCTATTATTTCTTCTTGTTTCATTGCTCTTCTTTTTTCCTTTTTTTCATTTTTATATGAGGGGAGGGGGTCGTCATTAGACTATATGCATTTTGTGAGGATTTCCTAATATTTCATTTATGCGCTTTTATTTGTATCATTTATTGCATTTTCTGGCAATGCATATTATCATTAACATAGTAGTAATATTGCAATCTCTTCTAAATTATTACGAATTAACTGCATTAACTGAATTGCTATCATTGCAAATTTCTTGTTTCTTATACCAGTGGGACAAACAACGACTTTGTTTCTATTTAGAAAATTGGATATATCATAAAAACGAAAAAAAACAAATTCAAGCCAAAAGGATCATATTTACTGGTGAGTCTTTAGCAAGCACTATTTACATAAGTTACAGGACCGTTATGTTTCACTGGCTAACCAAAAATGTAAATGTACATGCCAGTAAGTTGCACAAAGTGAAGCGCATTGTCCATGTTTTCTGCAGTAGTAGAAAACAAAAGGATGTCAATAATGGCATGTGACAAAGTAATTAGGTAGATTAAAAAGGTAGTAGGTTGTATTTGCGGTACCTGCAGCACATAAGCTGACGGGTTTGAAACACGTATGTACATAACTCCAAAAGACGTCGGGTTTGAAACACGTATGTACATAGCTCCAAAAGACGTCTATACGCGCAGACTGCAAAGAAAAGGGTAAATGTAAGAGCAACAGAGAAATAGTTAAGTATTGGAATGTCATGCTAGAGAATGTTTTTACTGAAGTATACCAGTATTTTATATTGAATAGCATATTCTGTGATAGGAGAAAATTCGGAACCTAATTGCAACATAGATTTTTTAGAATGGGATTATAAGCAACTGCTTGTTAGGTATAAAGAATGTAGCAGCAATTGCTCTATATTAACTGACGAGCTTAGCGAAGTCTTTTTCACGCATAATCAGTGGAATATTACTGAACTTGCTGAAAGATGGTGTGCTCTAAATTTATCCAGAAGAGGGCCTTCCTTGAAAGAATCTTTAGGAAAAATAATAATTTTACAGGCAGGTAAGCGAAATTTGGTAAGCTTATTTACTATTTTTTTGTACATATGAATTGGATAATATGTGTTGAGTGTAGAGCCAAGTACAATCATTAAAACATATACACAGAAAAAAACAAGAACTCATAACTCAAGAAGAGAAAACGATGAAAAAAAGAAAAGGACAGATGAGAGAAAGGAGAGTTACTTTCAATAAACAGAATAAAGATGAACCAAAAGGACCAAAAAATAATTAATCGCCTGAGAACCAATCTTCCAGCAGCAAATTTTGATACCTCAATGTTCAGAACGATTTAATTCTGAACTGATTTAGTTGGTGGCAACAGACAAAATTCATAATGCATTTGTAGAGAACTAAGACGGTACAATTTATGACATGCATGTAAAATTGCTACCAAGAAATAATTCTAAACAATAGAAAACTAAAATATACTCCCCCAAACTGTAATTACCAACAGAATAAGTGCAATAAACAAACAAAAATAGCACAAACAATTTACCAAACAGAACAAAGATGCATAAACTTTGAAAGAGTGAAGATCAAACCCTGATTTTTACCTACAGATAGCGCGAAGAACAGAGAAAGATCGTCGGCAAGTACCCAACTAATGAGCTCACACTTGAAAGAGTAAAGATCAGAAAGGGAAATTTTTGAGAAATGCTGAAAAAATAGAAGCATAAAGGAGAAACAAGCTTTTGGTATGATGGAAGTACCGTACACGCGTGATATCGAAAGTTGGAGTGCACGTCCTTGAATGATGTAGAAGCGAAGACAAAAATTATGGAATTACCCTTGGTCGCACCAGGGAACCTTCACTTATTATATATACTAGTGCGGAATGGCCCGTGCTCCAAACTTAATAAGTTAGCAATTTATAAGAAGTATTAAGTATTTCAGCAACCAAAACAATAAATGTACATGCCATAAATTTAAATAAAATGAAGTGCATCCATGTTTTCTGCAATTTGAAACAAGAGGATGTCAATAATGGCAATTGCCAATTCTACTTGGTAGCATGAAAAAATAGCAGGTTATTGTTTTCATTACCCTTCAGACACGAGCATCAAGACATGTTTGTGCTGAGCCGTTCAGCAACTTTGGCAAGGAGAATTAACGTGACAAACAAAAATGAATACAACATGATGCATCAAAAAAGAGTCAAAACATTCATACTATTTCAGATTTGTCTTGGAAAGGCAAAATGATGAGAGTCCCCAGTCCCAGAAGTAGGCACAGGTAGCATGAGGTGAAGCAAGAATGCTCTTTCCATTAAATTGATTAAGAAAATTAATACTATCAAATGGTAAAAGTCAATATTTGATGTAACAGACCCCTCTAATGGATTTATAATGGACAAAGTTATTTACTAATAACATTAAGTGCAATATCAAAATTGACATCTAACTTGTACCAACTACTAACAATGCCGAATGTCAATTTGCCAATAGCAGTTGCTGGATGGCACACTCTTTACCATACAGAATGCATATTTTTATGGGTGTTAATATTTCATTGTCCTCTTAAATTAATCTATTACCTGCTTCATTGCTCAAACTTACACCGGAAATATTTTCCAATAAACCAATAGCAAAGAATTACACGAGTTCTCTGTAACCAAAACTTCTGTACTCTCTCGTTTTTTCTATGGAGTAGCTGAGCCAATTCTTCAAGGTTCTGTTCTCAATTTACTTGCCTACGTGTCTTCACAGTAATATATCCATGTCCTTGCAAGGAGAGCTTCTCCACAGCTTATATTTCCTTTTATAGTGATAGCGGCGGCTTTTAAATAAATGACCTGCGCATTAACAGACAACTTTAGTAAAAGCTCTATGAGAGAATATTGACATGCAAATATCTAGTTTTGGGTACTTAATCCAAATAGCTGATTAAACTTGAAACACTAAGCTTACTCCATTTTCCAATTTTGCAGTGGGAACATATATCAAAATTATCTTTGACCTTCATACCACCGAGATGGTTGAGATGAACATAAAAACAGCAAAATCCTTGCGGATTAGCATAAACTTAACGATATTCTAATGTGTTTTACAAAGTTTTGACCTTTAAACAGTAAAAACAGTATGGAACAGAGATAAAAGACAGAGATCTTGATATCATAAGCTAAATCTATACCTCCCTTTCTTTGCCCATCCAAAATTTGAGTTGGCTTCCAAGAATCACACACAAGTTGAAGAAACCAAAAAAATATTGAGAGCAACTTGTAAACTTCTCTATATATCTATTTCTATGATCTATCCCACAAATAAAAAACCAATAACAGACCCCTACACGATCTCCTATTTATAAAGAAATTTTGCATCTTCTTTTCATGTTTATACCCATAGAGTCCACCTCAAAAAACATAGTAAAATGGCATGTCTAAGAATTATTGACAGCAGTAATATAAAGATTTCAATAACAAAAGAAATTGTAATTGTCTACTACAAGCAGAACATATATACAAAGGAGGCAATAGATATTGCACTCATAAAAGATCATGCGCACCTCGAGTTTCTGCAACCATACTTCAGTCATGCTCTCAAAAGTATAATGCTGGTCTGAATTTAATTCCCATAGAGCTGGCAAATCCTCTTCTGGCTGAGCACCACAACAGTAGAAATCTTCGGCTATTTTTGATATCCAAGTGTGTACGTCAAAGCTCAGTCACCAATCACTATATGTTTTCGATATGATCCAGCCTTAAACAAGAAACACGATTCCTTTTCCTTTTCATTTATATGAGCTAATTGGGTCCATATCTTCTTCGAGAGCAGAAGCAACCAACAAAAATACCCCGCTACTTTTTTGGAGGTACATCAATCCCATAGTCAGTTGTACTAATCAATTGTTATAGCAAAAAGAATTATCAGCTTAACAATATTACAATATTGTTTTCTAAGTTAATATCATGTAGTACATGTATACATTTATATAAGATCAAATTAACTTGACTACAGTCAAATTAGAAGGATAATTACGTGTCCATGAAATCAGTCTTCCGATTTCAAACAAAATACAAAATGAATATAACCTAAACTACATCCAAATTTCACAAATACTTGTCAGAGATATGCATAGTGTTTGAGTAACACCCCTCAACCCTTATACACTTCAATACCATACTTTTGCCAACAGCGAGATTTAAATATGTGATATGTGCCTAACAAACACATAAAAATATTTGTTCTCCAAAATCGAGGGCCTATGAACAGATACTACCATTCCATGGAGCATGTTGATTTGGAATCTCCAAAGAGATCAATCAAAGAAAGGAAGCAGTCAACAAAAGAAAAAAGCTAAAGATTGCGTAAAGAGGAAGAAAACAAGAGACACAGTAGACTTGCAAGGTAACAGGAACGAACCTAATAACAATAGAATATATTGGATCTCTTTTTCTTTTTTCTTACTTCAGCAGGATGACACAAGATTCTTGAGAAAATAGTTGATAAGTCTTACCGTGTCCGCTTTTCTACTCTGATGCTGTGCTTTTGAAGTTTGTCATAAACTAATTGCAAGGCAAGCCAATACTTTGTGATACAAATAGAACAAGTGCAGCCCATAATGATCTGTAAGATAATCTACGATTTGGTCAAAATTAGTAGCTGGCGTTACACTTTTAAAAGGCATATCTCAGTTTAATGTCTAAACATGATGGGGGTAAAAAAGCAGCAATGAGGAAGTATAAAATAGAGTTAGGGTTTTGCTCGAAAAGCTCATTGCTTAAATACTTTATTTTTAGTCTCACTTCAACAACAACGCTTCTTGAATGATGAATTGTAGTTAAAAAATTAGCTTTATATATTAACTGAGATTGAAGCAACTGGAACGTCTTTGTACTGACAGAAAATATTTGAGGAGCATATCTACCCAACAAGGCATGCTAACATATTATACTCTAAAGCTTTCCGCTATCATCATTCAACAGATTTTAAGGAGTGTGTGTTCACATAAGAATTGACAGTGATTAAACACATCAAAGCAAAGCCATCATTTCTTCATGCCAAAAACAAAGAGCTAAGGAACAGAAGATTATGCTATAGCCATGTCGGGGGCGAGCTGGCAAAGGGGCTGAGATATTGAGAATGGATCAAGGAAATCCTGATGCTCCGCCAGCCATTCATACTGAACAGAAAACTGATTCCACAGCGATAAACATATGTATCATACATTTTAATAACCTTGTATATACCTTATTTCCCCTTCTTTTTTTTTGGATAACAAATAATTCTTTCCGGGAAGAAGAGTTGTATAACAGCCAATTAGTTGACCAAATTTGTAGTTACTTATCATGTCAGACCTGGTCAAACTCAAATATATATGACTTATGTATCCTGGTAAGGCATATATTGAGGAGCTAGTCTCCCCATGTCCCTTGGAGAAAGATGTTATGATATCAAACAATTTTCACACCAACATAAAGCTGCATTTTTCTGGAGATGTTGATCATGACAATAAAACCAGAAGAACCTTTAGTAATACACACACTTTGAATCGGTAAGTATTCGAGGTAGACCACATTGGAGATTGCATGACTGAGAAGAAATTCAGCAAAGAACAACAAAATAAATGGCATCCAAACTTGAACAGTCTATGTATAAACAAGAAATGTTCAGCATTCTTCACAAAACACGATATCTTAATTTCTCTGTCACGCTACACCACAAAACACGATGTCTTCGTCCTTTCTCCTTAGTGAGATCTGATAACTTTCTCTGGTAAAATAACAAAAAGCTTTCCCTTTAATTTACTACCTTCTCCGTCACTATCACCACCAACACTTTGACCCCAAAGGTTTTAGTAAATATCAAAGATACAATGTTTTTTAGTTTCTGAATAATGAAATTTAATCTTAAAAAATATGAAAGAGCCGCGTATATACTTACTAAATTTCATTAAATTAGAAATTGACAATATTAGATTTAATATTCCATCCTTTATGACGCCAAGATAAGTACAAATACTTAGCTTATGAATAGGCAGACTAATCCAACCTGAGAAAACACTATTCCAACCTGCCTTAATATTTGACAAAGATTTAAAAAATTACTATTAATCCAACCTCTTCCCATCACATCGATGAAACCAAAAACTTTGTGAGGTAAAATAAAAAAATGATTGTTCGGCACATTATTCTAAAAGAGAGCAAAAAGTTTTCTTCCAAATTTTAAAGAATTCATGCACTTTTGAGAGTCCTCGTATGCATGATAATACCAAGTTGTCACCCTTAAAAATGCTCTCTGACTCCCGGTGAAACTCTCACTGGAAATAATACAAAGAATGTATTAGCTTTTAAGACCATTTGCCAGCCTTAAACCCTCGACGTAGTAGCAATACAAAGAATATATTAGTTTCAGTTTCACTTTCTCAATTTTGTCTAATATGTCTTTCTTAAATTTTTCAACGCCTTGTAAAAATGCTGCGCCAAATTTCAACGGCTTTCCTGTAAACCCTCACTTCATTCTCCTTTTCCTATATTATTTCCGGTTGGTTCTAAGTTATGATCTTAAAATACAGCTAATTATTTATCAGTATAACATTTTTTTAACCACCATCCTACCAACAAAGCTATAATAGAGAGCATCACCAAATTTGATAGCAGAACCTGGAATGGCCTTTTACGGGTGAGGAAAAAATACTCACGGTAGAACCTAGTCCCTTTATTCGCATGTTTCACCTACAATTGCAGCTCTATTCAGTCCTACAAAAAGAGCATGTGCTTGCTTATTTCAATGCACGGTACAAGAAGGTTTTTCCAGTTCCTCCCGGACCATCAATAAAGAATGCTCCCGCTTTGTTTGAAAAAATCCTATCTGTAATTACATTGTACGCTTTGAGTTGATCTTCATTCAACTTTTTGTGTAATAGTATATCCTCTTCAGTTACAATGATGGTCCTTTCATAGTACACCTCTTTTGCGTCTTTTGCAGCTATAAAAGACCTTATTGCTTCTGGAATGAGATGATATTCATTTATGTCGCCACCCATAGAATGCAATATATCATTAATATGGTTTATAACCATGTATCGTATGTCTCTTTTGTGAATATTAGGTAACAAGCTGTAATCCTCCGACATGTGCTCTTCAAATTGCTCCCAAAGTTGTCTCGGGTTAGTCGGATTGCAGTAGATCAGTAATATAGCAAATAAACGTCTCAAACTGTATGGCATTTGGTAACTTGCTGCTTCAGACATGCATTCTGTCAAGCTATTATCACTCTGTAGCAATCCACGTTTTTCCGCAGATTCCCTAAAGCTACTGCAGCGTTCTCCGTTAATAGTTAGTAAATCCCTATATGATTTTGGTCCTCTAATATTCATTAGTAACATCCTAAGGTAGTATCGCTCTCCTTCTGTTGGATGACATGTTACTACACGGCCAATAGCACGTTGTTTTTTCCGACGCGTCCACATTTTCTCCGTTGCAGACCAAACGAAATGTTCGGGGAATTCTCGATATAATAGATTGAGTTCTTCAGCGTCTGTGTTTGTTCTATTCATTTCAAAAAATTGTGTTAACATCGTCTGCTTAATCATCGGATACAAGCGTATCTATGTTTGCGCTGCTTTTAAATGAAACAAATTGTTGTCCTTTAAGGTGAAGCTGAAGAGGGCATACACTCGAGTACATTTCACTGATGGAGAAACCGTATAATCGCCACATAGCTTCCGGAGGCGAGACCCATCTAGCAGACTGATATTCTTTTATCTCATCTATTACTTCTGTGTTGCTGTCCTTATTGTGTACAGAAAATGCAATCTTATCGCGTCCTTTACATATATACTTATAAAGATACTTAACGGCCTTAATATCAGAACATATCTCGACATTCACATGGCAATCAAATTTTCCGAGCAAAAAAGTATTATATGGAACAACCCATGAGTTATCCAAGTGTCGTTCTCTTATTTTTACTACCACTCCTGTATTGCGTCTTCTATAAATTGGATAAGATTCTATTCCTATTGATGTCTGCTCCGCAAATTTTTTTGGGTATTTGAATTTTCAGTAACCTTTTTTCTTCATACAAGAATTTGTTGGGTTTAGATTACTGCACGGACCATGCATCATGTGTTTAAGAACAAGTGAATATAAATCTGGTTCTGCTTTTTCATCAGGTATTTCTGCACTAATAATATTATCGTAGGCCTCTGGAGTAAGTAACTTGTATTCGTTGGTTAATATTATAGGAAAATGAGCGTGAGGTAAACCTCGCTTTTGGAACTCTACAGTATACATAAAAGCTACAACTTTCCCAAAGATATTTCGTTTTAGTATATCCTTTTTGAATTCTTCTATTTTCGCTCTAAATACTCGACTGATCAAATGAGGCCTGTTATGTGCCTCATTAGTTGAGATTAAATGTTCCTTTATTTCTGTCCAAGAGGGATTACATGTCATTGTTATAAACAAATCAGGTTTACCGAAATGCTGCACGAGCGCAATAGCATCCATGTACCGTTGACGCATATCCCGGGGGCCCTCCGAATAAACGAACTTGGAAGGAAGTTTAGTTCCGGTATATTAGAAGTCATCGCGTTCCCCGTAACTCGCAAAATTGAAATCTGCAAAAACTCCAACCTTTGTAGTTT